TGCCGTTCAGCAGTCTAGCTCTGCATCCCTTAATGTTCCTGAGTCAGGGGTTGAGGCAGCAGAGGAAGGCTATGGACTAGAGGAAGAAGGTTTAATTATTGATTTCTGCTTCCTTAATTCTTCTCTTGCTTACCTTTTCTTGGCAGATGATTGATATATTAGTTCACTGATATGCATTTCCCCTTGGAAATTGTTGAATCTGTGCATGAGTATATTACTGAAGATGTTCTGTATAAATGATGATGATGATGCATTCTCCCCCCCCTCCCCATATATTCTTAGGTGAGGTCCTTATGGTTGAAGATTTTACTATTGGAGTCAGTTTGTTAGTGTTCTAATATAAATGATATACTTTTATAGTGATTTTTTAGGTTTGGATTCTCTAGTCTTAAACATGATAGGTTATTTGGCACAAATATCTTGATCTTAAAGAGTGTCAGGTTCTACATTCTAGTATCTTTCATTGTAAATGGAACTTTTATGCTTCATTTCCCTAAAGACTCATTTGGTTGGAAGATTGGAAAGGAAAGGAGAAATCATAGCGCATAAAACAGGATCACTTTGTTATATGCGATGTTAATGTTAATATGCTCTCGATATCATTGCTCAACTGTTTTTGTCTTTATTTATTACTTTTTTTAGTAGGGAAGTGAGGCCATTTCCAGTCACTTCATTCCTTTTCCATGCCATATGTAACAATTCTGTAACAGTTACATCAGTGAGATTTGACATTTGTGATGTTTAAGTGTTCATTAATCTTGAAATGTGAAATTGATTCGTGATCTATGACCCCTCTAGGTGAAGTAAAATCTGTCTATGTGAGAAACCTGCCTGCTACTGTTACTGAAGCTGAGGTCGAACAGGAGTTTAAGAATTTTGGCAGAATTAAGCCAGATGGAATATTCATTAGAGTTCGAAAGGTGAGTTTCATTTACTCATGAAGCTGATTGCCTTTATGCCTAACCATGAAAAGAAGCTGAAATGAAAATTGTGTTCGCAGGAAATTGGAGTTTGCTATGCGTTTGTGGAGTTTGAAGACATTTTTGGTGTTCAAACTGCACTCCAGGTTTGAACTTATATTTCCCCATTACACTTTCTGTTTTTATTTGATAGCCTAATTTAACCAAAAAGGCTCCAGAAAATTAGATGTTATATCTGTTGGTGATTTGCTTGAATCTGTCATCTCTGTGACAACTACACTGCAACATATATCATACTTTCTATTCCATCCCTTTCTTCTAATCATCTTTCTGGTAACCGAATTGGCCCTAAAGCATGTTCTTAAATTAAATAATGATGAAGCTACTGCTTGTCTTCTGCTAAATGGGAAATTCACGCACCTCATTGGATTGTGTTTTGGAGGGAAATTCCAGATTTCTTATCCTTTTTCTTTGCATCATTTTTTTTTTCCCTTTTCCAATTTTAAGGGTACCTGCATGATTTAGCATCTCTAACATTCCAGCTTGTGTTGCAATATTGGCGTTTCTATAGTAACTCAGTTTGGACTTTTTGTGGGCTATATATTTGTATTAATGTAAGTACCTTGTCACTGTAGGCTTCTCCCATACTGTTAGCTGGAAGACAAGTATACATTGAGGAGCGGAGGCCAAACAGTGGCACTACTGCTCGCGGAGGAAGTAATGTCCTACTTTCATTCAGTAGCTTCTTTTCTAGCTCATTCTAAAGCCTCGTTAATCTTGTAGTTTTTGGAGTTGTGGGTTTTAGCTAATAAATAATAATTTGTTTGAAAGCATTGGATGCTAAGTACATTGATGTGCCTAGAATTGATTCTTAATTTCTTGATTATGGTGCTTTGTTTGAATTTACAAGCTCTACGACAATCTTCTTGTTTGATTTGTCTTGGCATGTTTAGCTAACAATCAACACTGGATTTGTGAGGGTTTTGTCTGCAGTATCTAGCACTGTGCTATCTGAATTTTGGGTTATGAGTGCAATGCATCAAGTTTTTTAGTTTAGTCTTGGGTTCTTTATCATTAATGCATACTCTTTGATGAAACTTGAAAGCTTATCGGCAAACTTTCTTTATGATGAACTCGTATTTGATTGGTGAATCTGGTATTCAATACAGTGGACCTCATTGAGCCATGTGAAGATCAAAACATTGCAAGTTGCTACCTATTTTAATTACCTCTAAAATGGATATAGCAGTAATTTTTTTTTTTTAATGTTGGGCGAGTGGGTTTTGAGGATGGCCATGTTTTGGTGCAGCCAGTGGAAGTTATGGAAAAGATACCTGTCTAAATGTACTAAATGACTCCTATATGTTGTGATTATACTGATGGCAATAGGAAGAAAGGGGAATGGGGAGAGTGAGTTGGCAATCGATATGTTGTGTGTTTTCTGTAAGTCTAAAATTTGGCATGCTTTCTGACCTTTGACAGAACCCCTTTTTTTTAAAAAAATTAAAATAATAAATAAAAATTTCCTATCCTTATACCTTATGTAATGTTTAGTGGGTAGAAAAATGCTTCTATTAAGGAAATGAGAAATGCACATATCTCATTTTCTTTCTAGAAACTGCTTTTCCTTATAGTAAATGTTGCTTATATTCTTACCATTTTGGTGTCAGCTCTGGTAGAGCCTCTATTTTCAGCACCTTTGTTAATGATTACAATTTGACACAACTTTACTAAGTAAGGCGGATAATGTGCTGCTGTAGCATTCTTGGACATGTTAGTGTTTTCAGAGACTTACAAGTTGTGCCTGCTTGTTTGGCAGTGCCTTTGCATATCCCAGAAATATTGTATTTTTGCTCATTGTCGGATGCAAGGATGCCCAAAATGGTGTTGATTATAATCTAGATAATTTATGGTTGCTGTAACTGGAATTTCATCTTATATAGGTATGTGTTGGTATTTGAGGGTGTGTAAACCTGATGTGGATTATTGATGTGGGATTGGGTTTGTTTTCTTCTGTCCTCATGGTCCCTTTGAGAGGGAGCTTTGCTGTCAAATATGGAAAGAGATTGCAGAGCGATTGTATCATGATCTTGTTTGTTATACGGTGAACTGTCTATCGTTTTGGTAGAAACGTCAGATAGGGCTGGACTGTCTACCATGAGTCGTATGAGTGCATACGACTAGTGGTTATTGGGAAATAGGGAAAAGCTCGAATAGTGGTTATATTGATAAGAAGCTTCTTTATTGAGCAGGAAGGGGAAGAGGCAGAGGCAATTATCAAACAGATGCTCCAAGGGGGCGTTTTGGTGGCCGGAACCCGAGCAGAGGAGGTTTTCTGGATGCTGGTGACTATAGCAGACCTAGAGGCGATGGTTATCTGCAACGTGGTTCACGATAAGGAAACTGCTGTGAAGAGAAACAACCATCCATGAAGAACCTATTCAAAGGATCCTTACAGTTGCTGAAATCTGAGCTTGAGTCGCCATATTTAAAGCTCAGTTTTTTCTTTGGGGGTTTTATGAAAAAGAATTTGACATTTGGGCATGTCATTTTGAAGTCAGAGAGCATTTGAGACTTGATATTAGCTTGTTTTGCGAGTTAGTTCAGTTAAGTCCCCTTGAATGCTTTTTTATAATGCCATTCGGGTGGGAAATTTTGTGCTTTTGTAGCCCAATGTGAGGGATCATGAAGCTTTTCCGACGGCAGAGAAAGGTATTTATCACCAAAAACTTCGTTTGGACATATATCCCCCCTTTTTTTAAAACCAAAGGTGTGATGATAAGTCGAGTGTCATAACTTAATGTATCGTTTCTTTTTAGCAAATTTGAAGATGACTTGCAATTTGTTTTATTGGTTGCTAGGGAATATTATAATTAAATAGTTTTTCTAAGATGCCGTTTGGACATATAAATTTGAATTTGGATTTGAATTCTACATTTAAAATTTTTATATTTTAAATTGTCTGGGTAGTGTAAAAATTCACACTAAATAAAGTGTGTTCTTCCATGTTTGAAATAATTAGTATAGAGTATTTGATGTTTTTAAAGAAAATTACTTGATTTCGGATCAAGTTTTTTTATTCAAATGATGAATTTGATCAAATCTAAATTCATAACAGTCGAAAATTAATATGATATTCTTTTGCTGTGATGAATGCGGCCCAACGTTATTTCATAGATTATATTTCTAATTTTGTAAAATATATAGAATATTTCTTTTAAAGAGCATGGCAATAAACTTTTTTTAAATTATAAAAATGAAATTTAATCTTTTAAAATATTCTAATTTTATTAAAATTTTAAAAGATTTTTTATTAATAAATTTTAAATTAAAAATATTATTTTTACTAGCATTTACAAGTTATAACTTTTTATTTAATTTTTATAATTTTTTAAATAAAAATTATGATTAAATTTTATTATTTTAAAAATTTATATTTCAATAATTTAAATTAAACTTAATAAATTGTAATTTTTTATTTAATTTTTATAATTTATAGAATAAAAGTTATTATTTATTAAATAAAAATTATAATTAGAGTTTGTTTTTTAATATTAAAAATTATATTTGTTAAATAATTTTTTATTCAACTATTACAATAAAAAAATTATTGTTGTTTAAGTAAAAATTATAATGAAATTTATTAAAAATAAAATTTAATAAATTTTATTAAAAATTACATTTGGAAATCAAATTTTGATCTATATAATTTAAACAAATTTTATTATCATTTTTATTTTATTTTTAGTTTGTGACGATATTTTTGTTGTATAAAAAACTACTTATTGTATTAAAAAATGTGAATGCACTTTTTAATTTTTAATATCGTTATCATTTACACTTTTATAGATTTACACTTTTATAGATATATTGTGATATGGTGATCCAATTCAATTAATCTGAAACACAAAAAAATTTGTTAAAATAAAAAGTAGAATTATAATTATAATTAGAATTTAAATAAAAATTAATTATTTTATAAATTAATTTTTAATATTTATATGTTAAATTTCGATATTTACCAGTAATCACTATAATTTTTATTTATTGAAGCTCACATCTAATTTTCTTTAAAAAAGGAAAGGGGTTCGTAGAACATGGGAAGTACTGCGAAAAGCCCTAAAAAATTGATCTGAGAGACGGAGAAAATCGATTTTGTCCAGTGCCTGTCGTGTCGCTCTTATAATCCGCAAACAGCAAGAAAATCTCTAGTGTAAGAGACAGATTTCAACGAAGACCGAAGCTGTGAAATGTTGGCTACGAAGTTGAGTTCTTTCCTCAGAAGCTTTTCAAAACCTCAGATTTCCAGGTTATTTCCCTGTTGATTTGATTCTTGCAGCATTTCAATGTGCAAGTGCCTCCGGTTTTTATTCGTAAATATTGATTTTTTGTGACTGGTTCTAGCTCTCTCTTCTTTTGTATTGTAATTTGTGACGTTGAGACGTGCAAATTGATGATTTGGAGTGTCATAGGATAGGCAGATACCTCAAATTATCTTAAACATAACCTCTACCGCTCTACGCTTGAATCCTGGGTATCAGAGCTCTATAAAATTATCGAACTCTCGAACTTTGTGCCAAACAACGAGTTAGGGTATTGTATCATCTGGTTTTTAGGGCAGTGGAGCGAGTTCCGACGGCCCCTGATGTCAGCAAGACAAGAGCCATGCCCATGGGGCTGCGAGCTCAAGAAAATTTGGACTCGCTAATTTTTTGCCCAAAACGTATGGTTTTATTGCTTGTAGACAACAAATAGGTAAATTTAGGTAGTTATACTGCATACGCAAACACCCCATAGCAGTTGTTTTGGGCAAGGTGAAATCCAAAATTGTGAAAGCTGTTTAATTAAATTCACAAGGAAAGTAACATATCAGTTATCTTTTACTGTAAAATCTCCCTCGGATGAAATCAACTAAACAAACAAATTGAAATTTTTTGTGAGAGAAGACTTGTCAACAATCCCTTATTGTTACTTTTTCAAAATTTGGTGATCAATATATGAACGGAATGGTCCTTGATTGTGACAATGACTTTGCAGGTCCATAAAAAATGTAGAAGAAGAGGAGGGTAAATCCTACGTCCGTAAGGCAGTTTCATTTGTTTTGATTACCATTACTGGTGGAGTTGCTCTTAGTGCGCTGGATGACCTTGCTATCTATCAAGCCTGCAGTAGGTATTTGTTGTTGTTATTATTATTATTTTTGTCCAAATGCAGCTATTTGTTATTTTTCAAATGAATGTAATTTTCTGTGTTCAAGAGTTCAATAAAAGCTACTTTAATCTTATCCATAAGCATCTGGCTGACATGATATGGGTAATAAGAACCGTGTTTCTATTTTGTGTAGTTTACAGTTCACATCTAAGTACAAAATTGGCCTAATAATTCAGCGCACATAATGATGGCTATCCTACCTCTATTACATTTGGAGAAGGTTGGTTGCTGTAGATTTTAACTGGAAACTGAAGCTAGGCCAGTTTACTTTTGCCTCCTGTAAACAATACTAGTAATATTAATGGTGATGACTTTTGTAAAGGCAGCATGTAAATTCACAACCATCTCTTGTTAAAACTAAAAACTAAGTGAAGGAATTCTACTGGGTAAAAATTTCTGTCTTATATAATTTTTCTCTAGTTTTTTTCCGTCTTTAGATATTGGATGCTTAACCTACGTCAATACTGTTCTGTGTGTCTGTGTCCCTGAAATTCTGTGTGCCTTATCAACTTCTAAAGTTTTGAGGGGAAACTTTGCAGCAACGCTATGGAGAAAGTGAGCAAGAACCAGGCGATGATAGAGGCTCTTGGGGAGCCAATTGTTAAAGGACCATGGTACAATGCATCTCTTGCAGTAGCTCATAAGAGGCATTCTGTGTCATGCTCATTTCCTGTTTCGGGCCCACAAGGTACAGGGATGTTGCAGCTGAAGGCAGTTCGTAATGGAGGTTAGCAAATTAAACGCTTGTTTTTATTACTTGTTAGGGTAAGATGGTTTCACGGAGAGATAAAAGACTTGATAATCAAACAAAGTGAATAAGTTAAATGTGTGCTATTGCTTTGGTTGCCAGTGGCAAGCATGAGAAGTTCTGTTTTGACCATTTAATGGTTTTGTTTGAGCAGATGATACCTGGTCTTCCTTTTTCCTTCCTCGTGATTGGGAGATTTTAATCATGGATGCTCTTCTGTATGTACCCGGAAACGAGGAGAAGCATCAAACTTTGCGGATCGATCTCTCTGACAAGCTTCCAACTTCACGCACTGCATATACCGAGTGCAAAACTCATACCACGCGCAACGCGGAGACAAATATGAGCATTAAACGACAATAATAGTGACCGAATGTGGTAATCAACTAAGTCGGTTAATATACAATTGTCTGAACCCAGGGGATATCAATATTTGTTTTTTTTTATAGGAATAAGTTTCCAAATTTTCGTATCGGTGCGAAACGTTTTGTTTTGATGTCGTTTCGCAATCAAGATTCAAGTAGAAGTGCAATGCGCGTCGCCGGTATGGCTGATTTGAATGGTTTGGAGTTATAGGCTATGTTTGGATAACATCTTAACAGAGGTTTGGGCTACCCAAACCTCTGTGACGATGTTAAAAGCTCTTCGGAAAGAAAAAAATCATGTTTGGATAGAAAATTCTAATGGACTTAAGGACTAAACGTGGCGTTGGCTGTGAAGCTACTTTTTTGGGCTACTACTGTTGGGTTTTTGTGATCAGTGGAGGTATTGAATATTTAAATAACAATTATTTTTTGTTATCCTTTTTCTCTCCTCCATTTGGTGCTTGCACAAACTAGACTTAGACACGTGCATAAGGTTCAATGATTTATATGGTCTCTTAGGTTCTCAACTCCCAGGATTAAAAAAAAAAAATAAGAAGAAAAATACATATGAAAAACTTTCTAATTTACGGCTGGAGAAAAATGCGTTGACGAATATTAATATTAAATTATATTATTTTTAATTTAAATTTAAAGTTTGCGAAAAACACATATAATAAAAATTCAATTGCATTATTTTTAATTTAATAATATTCAAATTTTACTAATTTTATATTCAATGCATTTTATATTTGTAATTACTTTTTTTAAAATTGTTATTTAAGTTCAATATTTTTTTTTAAATATTAAATTTGTCACAAAAATATATGCAAGAAAGTTCATACTCCCTCCGTTCAAAAAAAATTAGTATTTTTTAGGGAGTTGGATGTAAAAAAATGTAAAATATTTTTAATCTTTCGAGGTGTAATAATTGTATTTTTTTTTAAGTGTCTTTATTGATGATGATTTTATATTTACTATACGGTATTTAATAGGGATAAATATAAAAGATAGGGTTAGTTTGAAAGTAGATAATTACTTTATTAGGAGTGAGATTCGGTTAAAAATACTTTATATTTTTAAACAGAAGGAGTATTCATTTTTGTCATTATATATTTTAACTGACTTTAAAATTAAATTATTCAAACAAATTTTAATTTATTCAACTAATTTTTTTTTAGAATATTTAAATATAAATCAAGTTAAAGTTATAAAATTTTCTTTTAATTTCAGTTTATTAACTTCAATTAATTTTAATTTTAATTATAAATTTTTTAATTCAAACACGTTTGTTCCAACTTCCAATGGTTACTGAAAAGTTGGGTTGATTCAAAATACGATTTGAAATTGATGTGGGGGGAAAGGAATGGCCTATTGGGTGTATTTTGATTCTGTAATCTTTTGCTATGAATGAAACGCTTCAATGCGGGGGGCGGAGAATTGGAGGACGCAACGTGTGGTAGAAAGTGTCCGCTGGGTAGTGGACAAAGTGGGAGGGGAGTATCATCGTGAATTAGTAAGCTGAGCTGTTTACCTGGCAACGCAACCATCATGACTCATTACTCATAGGTTCTCCGCTTTCGGAGCCGTGTGATGTCTGGTCCCACGCTTGTCGGCTTGTCGTCGGGTCTCGCCACATCTGTTTCCCTACTAGTAGCTTCCCTTTCCCCTACTCCTTGTATTTATCCATATCTTTCCTTTAAACTGTTTCGGACTAGCATATGACTTTCGCCCCCCTCCAACTTTTCTTCCTCGACAAAGGAAACAAATATTAATTCATTTAGTCAATATAAATAATATATCATACAATACAAATTATTAAGTTATTGTGCGTAAAGTATTATAAAAAATGAACTTGGTGCATATCTTTTTTATCATGCCACGTGTATGTGATGCAACTATTTTAAATTGTTTTAATGAGATTTGGAACGTCCATATTTTTTTTAGATTGAATTGAATTATAATAAATAATATTTATTATACGTAGTATTTTAATATAAAAAATATAAGATAAAATGATGCAGTGTTCGGTGAAGGAGAAGAATCTCTTCTATCCCTATCATTTAAATTATTTTTTAAATAATAAAATTAATGAATAATAAAGATGAAAAAATGTAAAGAAAAATAAAAGGTGAAGAACTCCTCTCCTGAAGAAATGGAGGAAAACGGTGGAGGAGGTGATGGAGGAGGGGGTTGCTCTTCTTTTTTTTTTCTTATTTTTTTTTTTTTTTTCACCTTTCATCAAATTTATAATTAAAATAAATTTATTTAATAAAATAAAATAAATGTTGGGGATTGGGAAATGAAGGAAAAAAAAAAGAAAAAAAAAAGGAGGAACCCTCTCCCAGCTGGGCGAGGAGGAAAAATGAGAAATATCAGTGGACTGGAAAGAAGGCAAAAGGTCTAGAAGGAGGAGAAAAGTACAAGGTTTTGGGAGACATTGATGGAGGCGCACATAGCAGACATGTGGGTCACCCCGCAATCACTCCCCCTTCTTTACCACGGCTCCTATCCATCACCTTCCACTTGCTTTACCCCTCACCGCCACGACAACGCACCTAACCGAACCGTTTTATCCTTTCTTTTCATTCACTGCTTTTCCAGCTCCTCCAAACGCACTAACCCCATGCCTCCCTCTGTGCTCTTCAATTATTTCTCATAACCCCTTCGTCTTCTGCTTCTATTCTGGGCTTCCAAACTTGCTGCGATGCAGGGTGGTTCGTCTCCGGGGTCCATGCTCACGGAGTCTAGAGAGGATCACTTGGTCCTTTCTTCTGAGGATTCTTCCTGCCCGGATGAGTCCGAGCTTGAATTGGGTCTTGGGTTGAGCCTTTCTCATCCTCGAGTCAAGTCTCAGCCACTCCCAACGACTCAATATGCCCGAATTTTGACGGCTATGGATTTTTCTTCGTCGCCCTCCTCCTCCTCCGCCTCCTCTTCCTCTCCTAACGTGACAGCTGGCACTAAGAGAGCTGCTGATTCTCTTGCCGCTGCAAACAGTCCTAGGTAAATAAATGGCCTTCTGATTATTTTCCCTTATCATATGTCACTTCTAATATATTGATGATTAGGTTTTGGTAACATGCCAGACTCGAATTTTCTGCAATTTTTTCCCCTCGAATATTAGTGAGTTTCTTTCTGCTACTGTTTCCTATGAGTCAAACACTCGGTAATAAACCTCTAATATTGCATCGTAATGAATCTTTACGTGATTTGGAATTATACTCATTATACTGGGGACTTTAACATTATTTTGCTGATACGAATCTAACAAAGTATTACTGTATCAATCTATCCTAAGAAAAAATGGGTTTGAAGGAGCCTGTCGCTTCAAAGCTTGTATCTATATATTGACAAAAGCTTCCTCTCTTTTTCCTCCTATCTAAATGCCGCAAATTTAATTTTATGCTCTAGAATTAAGCTACAATTTCTTTCAATTTTGCCTCATGAGATTTGTCTTGTGTCCGTATTGCCACAATTCTTAAGAGGGTTTAGCAAATAGTAAGTTACCTTTAAGAAGCCTAAGTAGTGAAGGTAAGAACCTGTAGACATTACAATTCCAAGCCATTTGGTTGAATAAATGGGAGAAAGAGATGTTATAGCTTCTCAGAATTAACTGAAGCTAAATGGTATTGGAATCTTGAATAATTGGCATGCCATCGAATGGCTATATAGACAATTAAAACTTTGATCTGATGTCTACTCAGGGCTTGCGAGTTTTTAGCTTCCTTAGATTTCAATTCAGCCGTTGGAGTTGAGCAAACAAAAGATGAGTTCAAATTATGCTTATCTTTCATTTGCTTAGAGCGTCATATAAATTTCAATGGCACCATATCTTCCTTAGATTTCAATTCAGCCGTTGGAGTTGAGCAAACAAAAGATGAGTTCAAACTACGCTTGTGTTTCATTTGCTTAGAGCGTCATATAAATTTCAATGGCACCATAACTTTTCAATTTAATCAATGAAAGTAATGTAAAAAGTAGCAAATCAACCTTTGCAGTAAAAATTACCCTCAACTTTGCACAGTAGATTGAGTGCATAACTCTGCTAAATTATTGAATCATTTCCTGCTTTTTAACTTCTCCTAGTGATCTGTTTTGGATTGTGCCATAGCTTTTTCTACTCTGAAATGAAGTGAATAAAATAAACTGTGATTGTTATTTTCCTTTTTTTGTCTTCAATAGTCAGGTTGTTGGATGGCCTCCTCTCCGAGCATATAGAATGAACAGCTTTAATAATAATCGCTCAAAATCTCCAGCCACTGAAGCTAACAATAATCAAACAGCTGCTAGGAAGAGTGCTGACAATGGAAGTACTAAGAACAACAGCAATGCCAAAGAAAAAGCTCACGTCAGGAGATCCCTATTTGTCAAGGTAAATATGGATGGGACACCAATTGGAAGGAAGGTTGATTTGAGTGCTCATAGTTCCTATGAAACCTTGGCGCAAACTTTGGAGGATATGTTTAATGAACCAACTCCAGTTGTCCCGAAAGGTGAGTTTTATTGGCCTTCAATGTCAGACGATCAACCATAAAATCATGTGGTAGCATTATAGATTTTAGAGTCTTTCTCGTTTCTTTTCTCTTTTTCATTGACAATGGCATCTTTGTCTGTGGGATTAGATGGGGAGAATCACGTATTGCCATTGGAGCAAAAAAGAGACACATAAACCTGATGGATGGATCTTCCAATTTTGTGCTAACTTATGAAGACAAGGAAGGAGACTGGATGCTTGTTGGAGATGTTCCTTGGGAGTAAGCATCGTATTCACAATAATGCTCTTACACTATTGAATCGTAATATCCTAGTGATTTAGTTACAATTTGTTTATCAATGGGACTACTGTAATATGAGCTCAACTGGCGGAGGTTCATAAGAAAGCTATTGGGGTTCTGTATCTGAGTACTTACTGGGTGCAAGTCATGAGACACAGTCTCTTGTAGAACTAAACTGCAACTGCGGACAGTGAGTAGCCATTGTCCTAGCTCTTTGAGCGGTGTAGGTTATGGTTTTGTTTTTGCCTCGGTAAGGGGAATCATGAAGTAAATGTGTCTATCCAAGAGACCTCAACTTCATGTCCCTGTGGGTTTTCGTTAAAATAAGCTACATCTGGCTTTACCTAGTAATTGTTAGGTGTCTTAATGGTAATCATGAAAATTAGGACCTCTTTGCTGAATCTGATTTGATATTGACGTCTTATCCCCTCTCTTTGCGACCAGTATGTTTCTTGGTTCGGTGAGGAGGCTTAGAATTATGAGGACGTCCGAGGCAAATGGACTTGGTAAGAAGATGTACTATTTGCCACACTTTTGACTTATCCTTATGAGTCCCCCCCCCCTCTCTCTCTAATAGAGATTTTTATACATGCAGCGCCAAGATTGGAGGAAAAGAAGAGCAGACTGAGAAGCGAGTGCATGTAGATATAGATATGCATGCTTTGCATAGCTTAGGACACACGCAACTTTTGGCCTGTAAAGTGATACACGGTATAGGGGGAAAATAGAAGAAGAAGAAGAACGAAGATGGATTCTGAGATATAAAAAATTGAAAAACACTGTTGATTTTTGTTAAATGTTGTGACCGTGGGATGCATGTCAGCTTTCTTGTCCATTAAATCTTGGTTGCATTTTATATCCGTCATAGTGTAAGAAAAATTTTTAATTTAGCCGAGTGAAATGGAAAAGATCAGTTTTCTGGAGTTGTATACAATGCAGTTTTATGTGCTCTCATAGAAATTGGATCGTTTGTTACTTGTAATCCAGCGAACGGACAATTACTTTGGACACCATGTGTGGTGAGTTCCGGGATTGAGTGTGAGATCAATAACTGCTTGTGCGATGCTCATGGTCATGGAGACGATGTTTGTTCAGAAATCATCAAGCCGATCAACAAACGACCTCCTTAGCGTGCTTGCTGTTTGATGCATCTCTTAAGGTTGTTGCCCTGTATTCATACTGTTTATATCACCTCGTTATTGTCGTTATGAAGTATCCTAGTTGTCTAACAATGTTCTTATCCAAGCCTTCCCAAGGGATTCACGTTGCATCCTGCTTCAGTATCAGATCCTCAGTAATAGTACTTCTGGAAATGATAATTTGTTAGACTCGTTTCATTTCGATCATATTTGATCCCTAAAATTTCGTTGGCTGCGAGACTTTGATTGATTATGGTAGCCTGCCATTCCTAATGCTTTTGAGTTATGCCTTTAAGTGATACGCCTTTGAGTCCTTGCTTAAAGGTGAAAATAGGTGAAGTTTTTAATTGGGGTTGACTTTAGGTCTGATTTAGCTTATTTATTAAATAGGTTTAAGTTAAATTTAGGTTTTAATTAAATTTTATTTTTTTAAGGTTTCATGTACGAGTTCAGCAGGCTGACACACACACACACACACACATATATATATTATGTATTATATTACAAACATATGAATTTCATCATTTAATTTTTAATCAATTTATTCTTTACTACTTTTAGTTATATTTTCAATTATATTTGACTTATATATTAATTTTAATATTATCATTTTATTGTTATATTGTAGTTAATAAGTCCTTTCAATCCTTATATATTATAATTAATAAATTAGTTATATATTATATATTATAATAGCCTTAAAGTATATTTAAGACATTTAAAACTAAAATGTGAACTTATTTAAAAAGTTTTATTTTTAAGTAGGCTTCTAACTAGATTTACAAGTTAGGTTAGGCTTTAAGTAAGGTTAGGCTTGAATCATAAAAAAAGCCTTAACAAGCTTCAGGTCAGACTCAAGCTTTTGATTTATTATATAGGCTTAAGCCTAGCTTAGCCTAATTTATTTCCATCCCTACCCTTGATGAAAGCCGGAAGCACTGAAAATCCGATCGATCTTTCAAGGGTTAATGAGTAAAGGGAGAATAAAAGGAAAAAATTTATATATTTAATTTTATATATTTAAAGTGCTTATTTTTAATTAAATCAAGATGTGTATATTTTTTTTATAAATTATTTATTCTATGAAATTTTTTTGTTATTAATATTATTAATATATTATAATTCACATGTCTTAATTTGATTGGATAAAAGTATATTAAGTATGTAAGACAAAGTACATAAGTCTTGCCCTAATTAAAATTATATTTGAATCATGATTAAATTAATTGTAAACAAAGCATTTGATTGAACCGGTCAATGTATTAGTTCAATGTCAACTAATTGAATTCTATGCAGTTTTCAATATTATTATCATGAAAAAAAACATAGATGCAAGTTCTTACAATTTATTTTAGTTTTGAATTGGGTCCCTATCATTTTTTTTTTGGTTAAATTGAATATTTTACACATTAAGCCCATCAGCCCCTCCTATTATAAAGCCTGCTTAAGTCATCTAGCATTGTTAAGCGACTGCTTATGTCATTGCCAACAAGGTTAAATTATGACATGTTAGAAGATGAGGTGGATTGAAGTTACTCCTAAGTCATTAAGTAGAATTTCATTTTGCCTCCTGCAGTCAAAAAGCGACGTGGCAGAGTGATAGGAGTGATTAGGTCATGCGTCAAATTTGTGTGATTGCATTAACAAGTGAGTTTTAAGAATCGCATGATTAAGGTGTTCAAATCAATTTATCGTGTCCGTGTCAAATCTAGGTGTTTGAATCCCTCCTTTGAATTTGATCTGAGTGTTCAAATCTTTCCTTTGAATTTTGTGAAAACTTCCTTCAAATCCTTGGAATGCCGTCTAATTGATTTGCTGCAGCCTGCAAGTTCTCTTCATTCATGTGGGATGTGGTTCATTCAAAATCACTTCAAGCATGTCAACTATGGAAGGAGGTTTCTTCGCTATCCATGCTACAAAGTAAGATTTTGATACGCTCCTATGAATGAATATTAGATATAATACAATATTTGGATTCTGATATACTTCCATGACTGTGCTTGATTTTTTAAATGAGCTATCAAATTCAAACTATGCAAATTAAGTGACGTTATCCCGTGTTATAAATTTAAAACTGAATGTGTCTCACTTGAATGCTTCTTTTTCATTCCGTCTTAACAAGAACAGAGCACAGGCAAACACGAACCACTACCAGATCTCTTCAATTCAGCGTTATAATATTCAGCAAGAACAAAGCACAATCAAGCACAACCAAAAACTGGGAAACACTTTTGAGCCAACAACCAATTTACTGAAGCCCTCCTCTTCCTCCCTCAATGAAACAAATAGCATTGCACTAGACTTGGAGAGCGCAAAGTGTAGGTCGGCCAAATGTTTGAAGCATCCGGACCCAAATCCACATAGATGACGACTGAGGATCCAATTCTATCTCTGTTAACCAGCTCAATTGTTTCTGACTGTGTTAATGGTCTAGTGGTTAACGGGCTAAACATGTAAAAATGTAAGGACCCAATTTTGACAAATAAAAATTATAAGGACTTGATTCAAAACGGAAGCAAAGTATAATGTTTAGATGATATGTTTTCCCTTATTACTATTATGTGAAAACTATGAGCTATCAAACTCCAAGGCCATTTGTAATGGGTTATCCTCTTGGGTCAATTTGTGGTGTTCGGGGCACTCACCAGCTCTCATAGTCTCCCACAACCCTGATCACGTGGCCATACCAAAAAAATCAAAAAAAAAAAAACCTGGATCACGTGGTCAATTTTTTAACCTTTTGGTAGACGCAGACAATGGCAATAATAATAATAAATTAATAATAGTAAAATCCAGATGAATGCAACCTGTATCAATATGAGGTCGCCAGGTCAGCATGGCGAAGGTGGTGAGTCGCCATTGAGACGATAATTCCTTCAAGTGAATGGCTGTCTTTGTTACACACCACACTTCTTTCGAGCCACAATTCTACTCTTTTCTCAATTTCTGATTCCATAAAAAGCTTACCTTCACACTGTCTCACTTCTCTCTCTCCTCCACGGAATGGCAACTCTGCACTCTCTTGCATTGTCGTCTCCGCTCCCTAACTCTCTCCAGAAGCCCCGTTCTTGCTTAGGTACGATCATCCTCTTCTCATAACCCCCTCAATTCTACTATTCTCTGCGTTTTTTCCATTTTCCTTTTTCTATTTTGCCTCTTTTTGTCCTTTCTGTCAACCATGGAGTGTGCAAAGAACCCTGACCCTCAACACGTTGGGTCGATGAAACTGAGCTGGACATTTTTATATAATCTGAGTCAATTTGCTGTGTTTGGTCGGCAGAAGAAAGAAAACACTGATATTTCCATATTTCTTAGGAGATTTCGACTTGTTAAGATGGATGTGTTGGCTAATTGTTGATGATGTGTTCATCTAAAGTTCTAAACTGAAGTGATATAGGGTTGTTCCAGCTTCCATGTTGGTAACGATTTGACGGTTTAAAATTTGGAATTTCTCTGTGCACTGGTTCTGTGAGTTGGTGATTGACAAGACGGCTCTCTTCTGATTTTAAATTGCGACATTATAGCGTTCTTTACTGACACATTTTACATATTACTAATTACTACCTCAGTCTTACCAATACCTTCATCTACATTAATAAAATTGGTTAAAGTTAGTTAAACTCATTGGGTTTGCAGCGAAGCATAATTCCCCCCCCCCCAAAAAAAAAACCATCCATATTTACCTTTAATGGTTGACATTTCTCTTCATTAATTCCAAATTTCTCTCACTGTAAGATGAGGCCCATATGTATATATGTATATATATATATATATAAACATTTAATAACTCAAAAAGCGACTTTGTATTTTGGACCAGTATAACACTCCGAGTGCCTTGTATTTGAGACTGGAGGTAGTATTCTGTTTCATAGTAGTTACATCTTCGGTGCAAGGAGGAAGTTGTTTGACTTAGGTAATTCAAGGTTCTGGCGTGTCCTCTTAGTTTGCTAACAATTGTGTGTGTGGGTATGTGGCCGGGCGTGTATAACATCTCTCTCTCTTTGTCTCTTCTTTTTTTATTATTCCAAAAGAGTAATGCATTGCACCGATCTTTAACTCACAAAACTACGAGAGAGAATTTTAATATTAGCTTATTTGACAGTCTGCCTTATGGATTGTAGAAGTCTTATAGCTTCAGAGATGACAGTAATATTGGTTTCCTTGCACAGTTTTTATTGTGGCCTTATATTAAAAAGAGAGAGAGAGAGAGAGAGAGAGTAATGCATTGAAGGTATGCTTGGCACTTTAGTAGCATCATCATTTATCAGGGGCAGCTTTTGTGCTTCCCCAACCTCTCTCTGATATTGTATACTTGAGAATTTTTGTCTAATTGGAAATAGATATGCCTATATCTGATTAATTTCTTGTATCGAATTCCCCTGACCCTGGCCCTGAAGCATGTGGATAAGATTCTTCTATGAAAATTGAAAATATCTGGCCGTAGTAGCAGAGTAATAAATTTCCTATCATCTGATGTTTTCGGTGTACATGATGATCTCTTAATTTCTGCAGTCTCATCTTTGGCTGTTCATCGAAGTGCACATTCCTCATTCAATGGCCAATCTCTATCCCTGCCACTTCTGAGGCTGCCTTCGCTGGCACAAAGTCCTCCAGCACGCGGACCCATTATAATGATGGTCAAGCCAAAATACAGTTCATCCAAGGAACAGACGAGCTAACAGTACCTGATGTAAGGCTGACTAAATCAAGAGATGGAACAAATGGCATGGCTATCTTCAAGTTCGACCAGCCTTCGGTTTTTGATTCTTCTGGTGAAGTTGGTGACATCACAGGTTTTTACATGATTGATGAGGAAGGTGTCCTTCAGTCGGTTGATGTGAATGCCAAATTTGTCAATGGAAAGCCTTCAGGAATTGAAGCCAAGTATATAATGCGGACTCCACGGGAGTGGGATAGATTCATGAGATTCATGGAACGCTACTCTAATGCTAATGGTTTGCAATTCATTAAAAAGTGAGTCATTGTGCCAACTTTTTCTCTTATTTTCATCTTCCTTTTCCATTTGTCATGGAGTTGAGCTTTTGTATTATAGTAAAATACTGGATTCATGTGCATGTACACATATCCTTCTGAGTTCATCTGAATTACGAAACAAAATTTTTGCTCGTTTTGCTATTCAGATCTTGCCGAACTCTTTCTTAGAACTGAGTTCATATAGCTCTAGGGTACAAGACTTCCTATTGTTTGTTTATCTTGCTATGAAATCTGACGAGCAATACCTTTAAGGCTTAAGCATCACATCATTGCCGGCATGCGTCAACCTGGGTTATCATTGATCTTGCTTTTTGACAGCTTATTCTTGGATGTCTCAGTTTATATACCTTCTTTAATCGGGTACTGGGTTGAGTACTTCACAATGCTAAAATTTCTGCGTCTCGAGGCTTTGGTGCGGGAAATTTCATAGCTATTAAATGACACATACCCAGTTTCGAAAAGCAAGTACGTAATAGAATTTATTAATGTCGTAATACAACACGGTCTGACCAATTATTTAGTACTGCATTGATGGTCCAACTTTCAAGAAACCACATTGAGTTTCTCTCCTAAAATTTTAAAATTGAAAAAAACTTCGCCAACAACTTTGCGAGACATAAAGTGTCTGAAGCAATTATACTGGGAAAGTAAGGTATGCGACAACCTTAATTATCTATATCCTACCGCTTTCTTGTCCCCTTCGCTGCTTAACCTTCCAAGTGACTGCGATGGGGCTTCTGACTTTGTAGGAACCATATTGAGAATGAATCCATGTTAAGTGCCCTTCTGAAGTCACCAAATCAGCTCCTTCTACCCTTCTTGATATAAACCATACCCTGTAATTCAGCTTTTGATATATTTTCTCAAATACCAGCCGCCTGGGTTTTACTATCACTTTCACTCCTTGAGGTGCCATAATCTCCAATGAGTAGGTGGAGTTAGGACTTCCCACATTGGTTAGTCGCCTGCTGAACTTCTTCATCCTCATTCCGTCCCTAAAGATCACAGAAAATGATGGATAGTTAAGGCTGAAGTCTCTGTTCACCCACAAGATCTCATGGCAACTTACTTTTCTGTGAGTTATGCTGAAAATTTCGGATGTTGTATATCCAAGAGTGCACAAATGAGTGACATAGTCATCTGGTCTAATATCATAAACCAGCCCTGGGTTTAGGGCTCTCTCTGGGTTCACATGGCCAGCTCCCATGGCAAGAACACTTGCTGGTTTATCTCCATCAAGTATTGGTCTTCCTGAATGATCATTTACTTCAGCTGTTGTCATAATTGCAGATTTGATAGCTGCAGGGCTCCATGTTGGATGTGCTGAGCGGATAAGAGCAGTGATTCCACTTACATGAGGACAGGACATTGAGGTACCTGACATGACAGAGAAGTTCACTCTTCTAGAATCTTCTGGAAGGGTTGTGGGACCCAGGTTTTGAGGCCAAGCAGCAATGATATTGACACCAGGAGCAATTACGTCTGGTTTGAGGATTGAAGGGTTGGTAAAACTTGGTCCTCTGGCTGAAAATCTAGCCACCGCTGGAGCCCTAGACTTCCCTATAACAGTTCCTCCAAATTCAAGCCAAGCAAGAGGCCTCTCTGTGGAGTTCATATAAGCTTTTAAGCGAATAGATTCATCAAAGCCTACCAATGTTGCAGGCAGGACATGAACATCAACTGAATCCTCTTCCAAGTTTATCGCTGTGTTCGCCAAAATCATGGCAGCACCACCTGCTTCCTTCACAACTTGACCCTTCTCTGCTCTTCCATTAATGCCTCTATCACATACCACCATTTTACCCTTAACTTTGTCCCTTGGAAGAGACCCTGCGAGGCAAAATTGACTCATCCTATCCCCATCAGTCAGATAAACTAGCTCGAGTTCTTTGCCTATGCTCATAAGTCGGTTTGCTGGATACATGGATTCTCCGTAGAGAATTTGTCCATTTCCCATGTGAACTTCAGCTGGAAATGTCCTATCCAGTGTGCTCGCACCAACAGTAGCAATCCAAGGAGCTTCATTGGCAACAGACATTGCCATCGGGCCATTGTTTCCTGCTGCACATATGACCGAAATGCCGTGTTCCATCGCTCTGAAGCTTCCAATGGCGATATTATCACTGTATAGAGGTACCGGGAAGCCACCCAGAGACAAGGAGAGAACGTCCACGCCATCTCTAATGGCTGCATCCATAGCAGCTAGGATATCAGAGTTATAGCAGCCGTTGAACCAGCACACTTTGTATACTGCAATGTGAGCCTGAGGAGCCATTCCTCTAGCCACACCATCAGCATAACCAAGAACACTAGCAACAGCCACTGATGCTCCGGCAGCAGTAGATGAAGTGTGAGTGCCATGCCCACTAGAGTCTCTGGGCGAGAGATATTCTGCAATTCTTGAAGGTGAAACTGCGAGATGACCTTTGGTGAAGTACCTTGCTCCAATGAGTTTTCGGTTACAATGGGAAGAGTTAAAGGCCTGCCCTTTCTGGCATACACCCTTCCATTTCTTGGGAATTGGAGGCATTCCATGATCATTGAAGCTTGGACTCTCCGGCCACACTCCTGTATCAAGCACCCCAATTATGGTTCCACGGCCAAAACTAGACCGATACCAAGCATCTTCTCCCCTGGGGTTGAGACCTAAGAACTTGTAAGAGTAGGTGGTTTGAATCTGGATCTTGTAGTCTGGTCTAATGGAGATAACATCTGGGAGGCTTTGCAAGTGCTCAAGTTCAGACTGTGTCAGCTGAACTGCAAAACCGTCCATGGCGGAGCGGTACGAGTAAAGGAGGCGAGAAGAAGGGTTGTTGTCATCAGACAAAACGGTCTGCTGTAAAAAGGAAAGGTGCCATTGAAGCTTGGAGGCGAAGAGAGAGCTGGTTGTGCCATGTGGATCTAGCTGAACTATGTAAGTGGCTAGAGTATCTGCATGGATGGTGAGAATGTCGTTGAGGAAAAGAGTGAGAAGGATAAAGCGAAACTTGTTGGATTCCATAACTGGTGGTACGATAATTGTATGTGGAGTGCATGATTTGGTGGCAAGCTCGGACGGGGTATTTGAAGGCGTGAGGGAGAATTGAAAACAGAGAGCGCGAGGAACATGAAGCTCGTGAGGTAGAAGAGCTCTTCATCACGAGGATCCTTTGTGAAGGGAGCGAGAGAAACAGAAACAAACGAGAAGAGAGAATGATTTCGGAATTGAGGAGCTTGCTGTGAACATCACGAGATGTTTAGGTTAGCTTTAATAGAAGCTTAAGTAGCCGTTAGTTTCAAATTCTCTCGGTTCACTCTGCCATGTTCATCCTGAGATTTGCTATTCCATAAGAATTTCCGTTTAATGCGTCCTCTGTTCCATTTGGGATCAATGGCTCCTTCTTCCGCATGGGTTTTGTGTTTTAACATGTGAACCAACGTTATTTATGTCTTTATTATTATTTTTTTAGTCAGAATTCAACGATTAAGATATGATGAAAGACGCATAAATTTACTCCTTTTTTATTTAATATTCACAAAACTTCGAATTAACTGGGATATAGAACAATTTATGCAGTTGCACAACCCAAATCACTTCACAAATAGTGAAATTAGGATATCTTTTAAGTAAATAGCATTATCTGTGAACGCTATTTATTCATACATTCCATAGTCACTCTGTAATGTATTCACTTACCTGAAAATCCGATAGATTTTTCAGGGTTATTCTACTAAACCAAAAATCTGACAATCATTATTTCAATAGCAAAGTAGTTCCTATTTTAGTATCGAGGAATTTTCATCAATAAAAAAGAAGATATCGATGCTGCAGAGTTCAGCAATAAATCATTAAAAAATACTCAAGAGAAAGAATCTACTTTTAAGTACAAAGAACACGGTCAGCCATCTTGCCAATTTTGTTAAAACAAATATTTTAAGTGATATAATGTCATGTTTCATATGCTTTATTTTGCACACTTGAAATATTTTCAAACTTCAAAATATTTTAAAATCCGCCCAATTAGAGCATGTGTGTGTGTGTATTTTTTGGGAATTGAGATCATGCATGATTTAGATTATTGTTCTAAAGGGCATGAGATATTTTTACTCCAAATTCTCTAGGTTTTCTTGTCTTAGATCTATTCATTTTGTTAGGCATGTCTTATTTTACTTTATGACTTATCCTAGGAAGTATTTCAATTACATGAATAAAAATGAATTTATTTGTGAGATTTAATTTTTACTTCTTTATGTATCTCTTTATAATTAATGCAATTTCGTATATAACATTAGACGTCATTTGTCAATTTAACAATGTGCACTAAGCAATCCAATGGCATGCAGGTGAAGTGTCTTTTATACCATTATACAAGTTAGACTCTTTCTTTAACTAATATAATTGGCTTGCTGATATTTTTCAGAGGTGGACCTAAAAAAGTGAAACAGGAATAATTTCTTTTATTTTTTACTGGAAAATATTTTTTACCTATCAAATATAGTATTATTGATGATGGGACATCTCATACCTCAATCTGATTGATGAGGTGTGTGTCAACCCTACATGGCACCGGCAAGGAGAACCACAGTATATAAAGAATATTGCCCCACTTGGTAAAAGTTTTTTATGGGAGTAAAAATGAAAGTGAAAGTGAAAATGAGATAATAAACATGTTTGGTACCATGATAAAAGTAAATTTTATTCAAATGTTCTCATAAAACTGAGTTCTATAATTTTTGATGGAATTGAATTCTCCACATAATTGAATTTCGGTGCGCCAAATAAGTAAATCTCAAAGTCTCACTTCCACTCCTCAGAGGCACCCCAAAAATGAACAGACATTTGCATGCATTGTTAACACTGCAAGCAAAATACATGAACGTGCCGGATTACTGGAAACTCAACTGGTCGTCATATCCATAAAGACAAACAGATAGCGGCAGAGGAAACGGCAAGGGCACCAGAAACAGTAAGAATAGTAACACTGCCAGTTACCCAGAAGTACAGCACCATGACACCATCTAAACAGTGCCATTAAAGACCAAAGTCGCATTGTAATTCCATGTACTGGTTACTTCCCCAACGCCACCCGCAGCTGATTAAATGCATGAAATAAAGCATTCAAAGTGCTTGGCCTTGGTGTGTCGACGAAGATGCCCTCCGAGTACGGGGAGGTCGCGAATTCAGTTTCGCTCGGCTGATTTGGCCTCCTTTCTAAATAAAGATACAGCCTTCAAGAATTAAGCTCGGTTAGCCAATAGTAAAATTGAACGCACCCGTTTCTTTGTCCAAAGAGAGATGCCACAAAGGGTATCGGAAAAAAAGACAAACATAACAACACTACCCAGAAACAACTGCGGGATCAATGAAACAGATAATCGTTTCCGCTAGTTTACGTCATTCACAAATTCCCATAGGCAGGCCAGCAGGCCAAAATGATGTGACCCGATATATCGAAATGCGTGCATAACGTTTCGGTTTAGCTATAGACAAATGGATCAAGCCTGCCAAACAACTGGAAACGTAAACAAGAAAAAGGCATTCTTCCCCTCGACATTTATCACGAGAGGATCTCAGCATAAATTGGCAACGGCAAAGGAAAGCTCAAGATATGAAAAGCGATTATTTTTCAGTCTATCTTCGGAATGTCAGCCCCGCCTCAATCTAAAGGTAGCGTCCTCGCAGCACTCATGTACCAGCGAAATGATACATCATTCAAGCAAAAAACTTGCTGAAATTCCCATGCCTTCACTGCAGTCAGTGAAAAGAAAAAGATGGTGGAATTGGCTCAAGTTTACAAATAATCACGAACTCAATCTTCGTTTTTATTTCCTACGTGACTCAACTTAACAAAAGAATGACATCAATTCAAAGAAATCATTAAACTGGCAAAATTCTTTCGTGGGAACCCGCCGAAGGAGAATGCAGATGCAGAAATTGGGAAAGAACTACATAACAAAAATGTATAAAGTGGAAAATTTCTCTTCAGGGCTTACAGGCAGGCCTGTCATCTGTAGCAAGCATACCAAGATATCAACCGCAATTTGTACCTATAATTCTTTCCTAATGCAGGGAAAGCATTTCTGAGTTTCTATTAAACAATATCTCAGGGCCCTGCACATGCATTTCACCTCTCTTTTCATGATTGACCTCTTTGCTCACTTTTGTAAGAATTTTTTGCAGCTTCTGCAGAGGAATCATTGGAATCTCCACTACCATCCTTTGGTTTCGAGAAGAAAGGATCCCATTCATGAGGTCCTACCTCGCGCTGTCCCTCTTCCAACAGTGCATACTTCCAGCTATTCTCCTCTATGAAGTTTTCATCTGTACGACCTTCAATGATATCTTCTCTCAAATTTGAAACCTTGTCAATAATTGCTTGCACAGAAACATCAAAGGCATCTTTAAGAGTTTCCAGTTTAGAGCGAGGATCAGCGTATACTAGTCTTGGTATTAGACTAATGACTTCCTCTCTCATGATTTTTACTTTCTCCGGAGATATCTCATTAAGCCTATTCTCTATACTGACATTCCTCTTACGAATATCGTCCTCTGGAATGAAGACGGAATACTTGGTATAATTCTTAGGAAGATGCCAAGTGTATTGCGTATATGCGGAACCTGGATGGAAGAAGACAGGTATACAACCAGCCAACATTGAGTCAAAGGCAGATCTTCGAGTGTATGAATCACCCTGGGGTTGCAAGCAGAAAAAGGAGCTCTGAAACATCTTCATTATACTGCTGGGAGAATGACACTTGCTTTCACCAAAATCGCATTCCAGCAGCTTACAAACCTGCGACTGCCTGCATTGATCGATTATCTGCCCCCTTATCGACTTGGGGTTGCCAGGACGTGGAGCTCCAGCAAATGAGAAAAGCCATTTCCTCTCCAAACGCCTCATTCTATCCTGCCAAATGAACACATCAGCATCTTTTGCAGGGTGAAAGTATGTTGGATATGGAATACCGAAATCGTTCGCATTCCAGGGACTGGATTCAACCACAAGCATGGACATATTCTTAGCTGCTGGCAAGAACAGAAGTTTACTGCCCCAGTCTGACTCTTCATCAGTCAGTCTCCGGAAATCCCAAGTTATTCGTCCCGCAACAAGGAAATGATCTCTGCCATTCATTATGCCCCACTCTGGCCTCTTCATAAGCCAATCAACCAGATCAAGCGAAGCTGCATCCCTCATTGAAATATTGTAGCCCCATAGGTACCGTGCAATATCAAACCCAGCATAGAAGGGAACAAAAATTGCTGCAGCAATTGAGGAGTCTTTTGTCAAACATTCATACTGCTTCATCCGATTGTTGAATATTACATCCACAGCAAACTGATTTGTAGCATACCACCCAGTATCTGAGAACACACCTTCAACATTCTCGAGTGGTGGACCAAGGCCAGCATTAGTGGTGAACTTGCACATATTAGTCCATAAACTCAAACTCCTGCACTCTTTCAACATATCCTCGTTAAACCTGGAGGGAAGGTCGTGGACATAAATATACCTCCCTCCACAGGGGTCACTCTTGTTATCAGCAGTCTTCATTGCTCTCATAAAGGGGTAATTCTTTTCAGGGCTTTGAACCTCAGGAGCGACATTGTTAGTTGGTGGACTAGGAACATCTTGGATTCCAATCTTTCTCGGTGGACTTTGCACAAGACGGGCATCGCTTACATGGAACGGGGTAGATTCATGGTTAATAGGACCGGGTTGTAATTTAGTGGACTGATCAACATCACCACCTCGAAGCACAACAAAATGAAAGTACAGCAACAGAAACCACAAGAAACCAGACAAGGATGCCAAACAGCAAAGCCGAGAATTATGGTTCTTAGCCGTTCCTTTCTCCATTGGCTCAGGGAGAACGCTCGCCGGAGGGCGGCGTCTCATTTCATTCCAATTCCAATCAAAATCCCAAAACCCAAGTCACCCTCCCACAACTACTTCAATGGAACATCGAGACAAAAACACTGTTTTGCGAAACTAGGAGCGCAAAAACCGCAGGAATTACAATGGCCGAGTCTGTTGTGTCTAACTCTAATGAATGGATCTCATTTTGGAGCAATATAAAAGGACGTGACAATCAAACCAGAAAATCAGTAGAAATGGCCAAAGATAACACGGAAAAGAGAGGAGCAGTTGCTTACAAAGAGAGATTTAGCAGCGAAGAAAGATCGGGAGTCTCAAAGGAAAGGATTTCGCAGAGAGGGAGCAAGCGAGAGCCGAGAGATCGGGATTCTAGAGAGCATAAGTTGAATAGGTAAATAAATGAGCGCGCGCGCGCGTGAGAGAGAAGAGAGGGGTACGCGTTAGCAACGTGCGGCGGGGGGCAGGTTCGTGTCGGTGCGGAGGCTGAGGCGTGAATACACGCGCCGAGGTGGCGTAACGTGTCGGGCAGACGAAAGTGAGGCAGTTTCCTGGATGTATGATCGGGCAATTCCGATGAATAAAAATGGGGCAAATTACTGATTGGATCTTCCGATAATCATATTGGACTCAGATCTGAAGAATTGTAGGTTGTATTATATTTTCTTTCATGACACTATGATGGAGTTAGAGCTGGTGATTCAAATGAATTGAAGTTATTTAAATTGAGTTTAAAATATTTTATTTTCTTAAAAAAATTTATACAATTTAATTTAGTCATAATTTTTTTAATCAGGTTTGAATTGGCTCATTAAACTTGATTAAAATTACTATACATATATATATACATGTAGAGTTGAAAGTTTCAGTACTCGAGCTTGTTTGAGCTGCATTTATTTGAATTAAGCTTGAAATATTCTATCCTTTTAAAAAAATTCATATAACCAAGTCCAGCCTTAATCTTGTTTAGACGAGTTCTAGCTGGCCCATCAGACTTGGCTTAAATTATCGACTCTAAATAAAGTATTAATTATATTTAACATATTTTTCTAATTTTAAATTATGAAATATTTTGACAAGACCATGATAAATTTCATTAAATATATTTTACAATTTTATATTTAAAAAAATAAAAATATAAATTTTTAAAAATACTCTTCATTTAATACTCCAAATATAATAAGAAGGAGAATATTGAAAAAATATTATTAATAAAATCTTATTTTTATTAAAGTATTTTAAATTTTGGGACATTGAATTTCCTCCAAATATATCTTATAATTTAGGATGAAGGGAGTATAAGGCATGTTTTTTAGCTAAGATGTTAAGAAATATAAGAAATTTTTAGTTTTAAGGTGTAATTAATGAGATTTTTTGTATAATTAATAAATTTTTCTAGTTAACTTAAATAGGGCTAAATATGAGAAAAGAGTGAAATTTTGAAGACAATTAATCAAATAGGTATAATTGAGTTAAAAGTGACTTATAATATTGATAGAGAGTACTCTAAAGCAGACAAAAAGATCATTTGTTTTGCTCCTATCTATATAACATCTTAATAATTATTATTTTCATCTTTCTTCTTTTGTTTATATTAAATGTTGAGAAAGTTATTAAATATTAAATTAAAGTATTTTTTAATTATATATTAATTAATATATATATATATATATATAAATAGGTTGTTTAAATTTGTAACAGAAATGACAAAAATGCCCTCATTTAGATGAACAACATAAATGACTTATTCGTTCTCATATTGTATGTTGTTTATTTACTTATAGAATATTGTTTGTTTTCCTACTTCACTTATTTATAATCATACTTTTCACTTAATTTCATTCTCAGGGCCATAAATAAGTGAAGTAGGAAAATGAACAGCATTCTGTAAGTAAATAAATAATATAAAATATGAAAATAAATAAGTTGTCATATCATAAAATCAACATTTAGAATGAAATCAAGTGAAACTAAAGTTATAAACAAATGATGTAAGAAAATAAATAGTATTTTGTAAGTAAATGAACAATATAAAGTAAGGGAATGAATAAGTTGTTTGTATTATTTATTTAAATGAGGACAATTTTATTATTTTTATCACAAATTTAAAAGAAATTTTGTATGAGTCCTTCAATAAAATTTTAAAAATTTTGATGTTATCTTTTTCATTATCTTATATTAAGGGTCTCCATCTGAAATTTTCCCATGAAAATTTTGCTTGGTTCTTGTAAAAGTATTTGGAGTAACTTATAAATAGAAAAAAAAAAAAAACTTGGTCCATTTATGCACTAGTCAATACTATCTTTTTTTTTTTTTCATTTTGCATCTATTAGATAAAATGGAATATATATAGTCCTAACAATTATTTTTTTAAAAATAATGAATTTAACACGAGTAAATTCAAAATGAATTTAAGTTCTAAGATACAACTAATGTAATTTTAGACTATCTTTGTTAATGTGAAAATGTTGTAACTTGTAGATGACTTTTAAGTGGGAATGATATGATGAATCAATCAATCTTGATAAAAAAAAGAAAAAAAAAGAAAGAATCCATTAGATTAATTCTAAAAGTTGTCTTTGTAAATTGTAATTGTAAATTGATGTAAAAAGAGAAGGAAGCATGATTAATTAGACGAGTAGAGTGAAGTTGTAAACTGAGGATAGTGGGCCTAGAAGGGGGCACATAGGCAAACCAACCTCTCCCTTTCTCTTACTCGCTTTCCCCTCCGCCCCGGGGGCCTTTTTTAATTTTATTACACTTGATTCAAAATTTTCAATAGTTATGGTTAAGTAATTAGCAATTTAAATAAACAAATTGAATAAAAAAATCACTTTAAATCATAATAGTTGGGAATTTTAATCAAACAGATCTAGGAGCCCTCCCTCGAAATTCACACTTGACTGGCTTTAACCCAACGAAAGTGGCAGCACGTCACTCCCGGAACCTTCATCTCCGCCATTCATTCCCTCGATTTGCGCCTTAACCTCCACTTGTCCAAATTCAAACACTTCCTAAACAAACTTCCAATTGAATACGAATACCCCAGGGACAGCTTGTTATATGTAAAACGCACCCATACATTCCGATTTAAAGGATTTTATGGTTTTTTTTTATTAAAGTAAAAAAAAATTAAATTTTTAAATAGAGTTAATGAGTTTTAATTTTATTAGTTCCAGTTAAAAAATGTTGAAAGAGGCCTATGAATGGGAGTAGGAGTGTATACTGTGTAATAAATTATCCTCCGACTCTAAAATTTGAAAACTACAGAGTTGTCGCCTATTGAAATCGGCATCAGAGAGGGAACACTGACAGTGTCTTGCAACTGGGGCATTACTGAGTAACATTTGCGAGAATGAGGGCGACCCTTCGATTTGGACCATAGCATGTGATTGCAAAGTCGTTCAACTAATCTACATTCAATGCGAATTGTCTTTCGGCTTATAAAATAACAACGCATCACCTTAAAGCCTCAATCAGGTTTTCTTAGAAGCATGTCAATCACCAAGTCAAGATTCCACAAGTTCACTAAAGAATTTAAACAAACACGGGATCAAAGTCAAACGAATTACAAGGTGAATGTCCAGCAGCACTACCATATTATCGAAGTCTCCCAACACCATAGCAACTTAGTCGTCAGGCTAGATAAATGTATTCTAATTGAGAATAGCTGCAGCAAAAGGAACAGTGAAGCTAACAGTGATATACAAACACTGCCTTTCACCATTCTAACACTATAGCACAACCCTAGTAATTAGTGGGATTACTTCAACCTATCCTCCATCAAGTCCTCATAACACGCGAATTCCCGGGTCTCTCATCGTTTACTCGTGACCATGGAATTGCGCTATAATGTTAAAAAAGAAAAATATGACCTATTGAATGCCACGTTCTGGGGTCAACAAGTATCGGATTTATTTTCCTTCTCAAACATGGTCAATCATCGTACATTACGAATGAAATTTACAGAAGTTGGGCCTCTCGGTGCCATTTGGACTCAAATGAAAAAGCGAATAATACAAACTGAAAAATGATTCAGGACCGAACACCCAAGAGTTGTCTCATGGATACGAATCCGGTGATACTCTTTCACTGACTGTAGTACCAAATTGCGGGCCTCCTTCACGGTATGAGAAAAGATACTCAATCGGGTATCCTTTCAGCTTATGAGGGGCAATTCCAAGATCATAGAAAGTCAGAGCTGCAAATTTCATTTCATTGCAGACAATAGAAAGATGTGAGGAAAAAAATACCGTACTAAGTCAAGGAATCGAGGAAAAAAACCACATGAAAAATGACAGATTACCATTTTCTGAAACAACATTATCGGTAGTCGAAGCTAGGATCTGATCCAGATTAAATATGTTAGGATTGGGTAGTGGAAAGGGCACCTTCTTTAGGAACATTTCTCGTGGTGTTGCCAATGCCTGAAATCAATCATATCCCACATGATTTAAATTTCATGTCACTAAAATGAAACCATCCACAGTTATTGTTATTAGCAAACCAACTCCAGCACTATCTCCCATCAGCATTTGTAGTTACTTTCATATCCAAAGTTCAAAATACAAAGTCCAGTGATACTGATAACTAAGAGGCAAATGACAACTATTAGCTACATAGATAGAACCATAAATTTGTGGCAAATTAACACACATCTTATGAAGACTCGACTTCTTGAACTTGTAAGTCTAGGAAATTAAGCAATTTTTGCTCGCCAGCCAATTCATAGTAAAAGTTATTTGGAAACTACAGCATTATTTTGGCAAGAAATTACATCCCACTCACACAATCAAACACTGCATGAAAGCAAAATTGAAACAGAACAATCAGTACCCACTGAAGTTAACAGATTTGAAATAATTAGAATTACAGTCTATTCTGTTTCCAAACATTTTAGTCAAAGAAATTAAAATATGCATGTAATTGGAACTGAAACCACACAAAATTATGAATATTCAACACTGGCATCCCAATGATATATGCACACAAGACTAAGTAACCAAAAGATTATCAACACACCTTTGCAATAGGAAAAGGAATTTTCACATATCGAGGCCGTTCCCGGATTGTATCATACATAAGCTCTGCCTGTATTCACATAAGTAGTCTACATCAATTTACCAACTTTTTTTCTTCTTTCTTTTCCCTAACTAGTAGTACTATATCTTCTTTTAAAATGATATCATGTCAGCAAATTAGGTGATGAAGGCAAGGATTACCAATTCATGGACTGTAAAGATCTCTGGACCACCCAGTTCATAAATCTTTCCCATGCTTGTGCCATCATCCTTCAAGGCGGCAATAAGTGCAGCGGCAACATCAACAACATATGCAGGCTGTATTCTGCAATAATAGTGTGTCACAATTCAGAAAGATATCAAGGAACAAGTGTTTCACTTCCAAATGGCAGAGTAACACAATCACAGTTCTATTCCATAAATACGTGTTGAAGTTTGCAGCAGTGGCTTGACAGATAAACTACATACTTAGTGGTCCCATCCCCTATCAATGGAAGAAAGTTATACTTCTTTGCAAACTGGGCCCATCGATTCAAAATCCGATCCTCTGTACCAATAATACCTGCTGGTTTCATGATAGTGGCCTGTAAATGTACGTGAATTCCAATGTCAATGCACTTACAACCTACCAAGCACAAAATTATGGATCACCCCAAGGTGTGACAGGTTGAGTGCAAAATCACCACAAATGCTTTAGACATTGCGAGTGAAAATGAATTTTACTTCATTCAAAAGACTTTTTTTTCTTTTTTCTTTCTTACACATCCACACGTGTCAATAATGTGTTGCAGCAATCCTCATATTGGATCCACTAACACAAATGGAAATATGCGTGCCTGAGCTTTATAATTAACTAGCAATCAGATATTCTATTCATCAGATTTAAATAGGAGAATTTGTATTGTCTGAAGAAATGCTGACAAGTAGCAGCTTTAATAATATAAAACTATCTATAACCCAAAAAAATAGTCAGGAGATTACAAATGCTTCAAATGTTAAGAAAATCATGTTGGTCAAGTCCAAATCCAAAATAAACTAACTCGTAAAAAATGGACAACTCACTTTTTATCATTCATTCACTGAACAATGCAGAGGTAATAATGCACTTAACAGTTAAAAACCAATGTATTGGCTGATCTTTCACTTTCATCTCAAGTGTTCAGAGAAATTCTTTGTAGATGAAAACAACCAGGTTTCAATCTGTTCCGCCTTCAAATTTTGAAATGCAAAATAGAAATAAAGGCACTAGAATCGCTGCCTTCTAACTCAAAGTGATGAATAAAGTGTACCTCAGGTAATTCCTTTAAAATAGCTTCTTCTGCAGCAGCTTTGGCTCTCAGCATCTTGGATGGAGAGGAAGGGGACGCCCCTAAGCAAGAAACATGAATAAATCTCATGATACCACCATGTTCTTTGGAAATCTGCATCATTCACATTATTTATCATTATGACATAATAATTTCAGATACTAAAAATGAGTCATGTTAAGCAACTAAAACATTACAGTCAGCAGATATTCAGTCCAAACCAAGCAATACAAGGCTCTAAACTAGCCTAATACATGCTTAAAACCTTGCAATGGTAAAACCTCTTGATCGTTGTAAGCCTCAAAATCAGAGCTTGAGCCCACTTTAAACTAGCTACTACAAGTTGCAAGAGACTCATGCAGCCACATAAATAGGATTAAACTTCTACATCCTAATGTTTAATGTTCAAGGCTTCAGACATGTTCCAGTTTTTTCAAGCTCAGATCACAAGTTGGCAAGATCCTAAAATAAAAACTTAACTTTCCAGGGAAAAATCATGGTAACTTGCACATTTTGGCTTTGTTTTCCCCTTCTCACGAGGTCAATATTCAATAACATCCCAGAAATTTACAGCAGACATGTTTATTGAAGCCAAGAGCGTTCACTAGTATCCCATATCTTATTAAGCATTATGAAGAGCACTCATTAATGCAAATGGACGTCATAGATTTGCACACGTATGTCATGAGAGCAAGTAAAAGCCTAAAAGGAAATGAGAAAAAGTGTGTCAATGATAATCTCTGAGGCTGAAAGTAAATAAAAGTACCATTGCAAGTTGCTCAGCCATGTAATGGTTCACTTCCTCAAAGCTGAAGTTTCTCGTCTCATACTCCCTTCCTGCCAGCAGCCATAATCAGCCAGGATGGGTGTGTGGCGAAAAGTCAATTTCCAATGCTATGAAACATTCATTCAAGGTGCAGAAGTATATGAGATACATACCAATAAGATTGATGACGACATTGGCCTTTGCCATCACAGCTTTTATTGAATTTTCATCTCTTGGGTTGTATTTCATTGGCACAATCTGTGCACATCAATCACATTGGAATTAGCACAAACAACTAATGTAAATTATGCATAAAATATTTGGTATTCACAGTCCCATTCAAATAAAAAATTGGAGACAGGTATTAAAAATACCATCTCAACCTACCTGTCCTAAATCACCCATCAGTTTCAGATGACGGTGAGAATCTTCAGAACCCCGAAATGGAACTAGCACTTGAGATCCCATTTTAGCTAGAAGAGGAGAACGGTATTGCAAAAAATAAATAAAGGAATACAATGCAGTTAGGAAAATAAAACTTCATCAATATAATAGAATTAATATTAAAGTACATTCTTGAATAAAAGTAGACAAAATTAACAAAAAAAGAATTTTGTCAACAGATATTTTATGCAATCTTCTGGTAATTTTTTTCTGAAACATTGTATACATTATAGAAGCTTACCCAGTTGTTGGACAACATAACGACCTAAGAAACCAGTTGCCCCAAATACTGTCGCTATAATGCCACTGCAAAACAGAATTTCTTTCAAGCATCACTTTCACTATTCAAATATCAGCTGTATAAGCTAATAATGCTCATTCAACAATGCCTTCTGACCCCTATACATCAAATGAGAAAGGACAACCAGTCAAAAAAATAACGCCTTATCAGAGAAATGTATGAATCAGCGTCACCTGACAGATGATCTTCCACCCGTACCCTTGCGAACAAGATGACCGACACCCTTTGTTGCAAGGGTAGATGCGTAACGCTCGCGATCCGCTACATAATCTGCAACATCAATTACCAGAAGAGAAAGAGAAAGCTAAGCACATTATTCCTCAAAATTCCCACAAATTAAGACGGAAATGGCGAAAATAGAGCATCACATTGATCGGAAATTGGATAGGTGCACTTCAGCGACAATATCGAAGTTGAGGGCTTTAGCGATTGGTGCCCTAAGCGCCTGGTAATGGCCTGCATCGTACCCTGCTCTGGTCACAGACAGAGGGAGAGGAAGAGACGACGACGCGTTGGAGCCAAGATTGGTGAGAGTGCACGCGACAGTTTTTGGAACTGGATCTGGATTCTTCGTTTATTGGGCCATGTCGGTGAACAATTTCCACTGTACCAGGGAGCTAAAAATAGTTGGGCCTATTACCCATCTAAAGCACTCTTTACGTTCTATTTGGGGCATTTGGGCTCCTAGTCAATGAGCTTTAGTTTGTGAAACAAACAGGTAATCACATATAAAGGTGCGTTGGAGTTCTTCTTCTTTTTTTTTTTTTCCCTATGGTTTCAATAGAGAGCATAAAACAAAAACAAGTTATAAAAACATGTTCCACGTGAAAGAAAAAATCAACAAGTGTGTTCTTATCTGTTGTTTTTAATATTTCTATTTTATTTTCAAATTTTGAATATACTTGTTTCAATCTTATTGGAAAGAATTACATGTATTAAATATATAAGAAAAGTAAAAAACCTCTTATGATGCTTTACATCTAAATCAAAATTCTCCCTTACTGGCATTGATTAACAAAATTTCAATGTTTTAATTATATGACTTTACACTACTTATGAGTTTTTCATGTGCCTCGCTTCTCTTTGTAATTTTTTTTTGTTTTTTGTTTTTTGAGGTATCCCCACTTCTCTCTATAATTTAAGCATTTGTGGGTTTGTTTATCAATATACATCTTCTTTTATTCTTATTTATTTTAAATCTTTTATTTGAATTTTACTGAAGTTACATTATTGTTTTATAAAAAGTTCTACAAACTATCATGTAACCGCATTTAAAAAAAAATTATAGTTAATAAAAAAAAGGTTAATGAATTGGGAAGAAAATAGGACTCCTAGCTAAAATTAAATACTATGTAATTTAAAATTTTAAAAATCCTTTAACAATAAAACTGATGGATATATGTATGTATTAATAATGTTTTTTTTTTTGCCAACTATGTATTAATAATTGAATCTATATTTAAGTTACTCGTTTTCAACTTCATATGCTTGTTCATATCAATATCCATTTAAGGTATGACTAAAAAAAATCATGAACCTATAATGTATGAATAATCATTAAAAATATATATATATGGTCATTTGACCATGTAAGAATACAAATTCACGCGATATGACACCAAATTCATGCACACACATATATATTCATTTAAATGAGGGTTCTAGAAGATTCATCAATCACTTGTTTATTTTCAAATTTCAATGAACAAGTAATTAAATATATCTTTATGCATACAGATAATTATATATGTGTTTTCAACTTTGCATGATGTCATATTCAAATATTATGAAGTATTATTCAAAATTATCTGGTGCAAGGGTAGATGCGTAACGCTCGCGATCCGCTCCATAATCTGCAACATCAATTACCAGAAGAGAAAGAGAAAGCTAAGCACATATTCCTCAAAATTCCCACAAATTAAGATGGAAATGGCGAAAAATAGCGCATAACAGTGATCGGAAATTGGATAGGTGCACTTCAGCGACAATATCGAAGTTAATGGCTTCAACGATTGGCGCCCTAAGCGCCTGGCAATGGCCTGCATCGTACCGTGCTCTGGTGACAGACAGAGGGAGAGGAAGACGCGGCGACGCGGGGTAGCCAAGATTGGTGAGAGTGCACGCGACAGTTTTTGGATCTGGATGCTGGACTCTACGGCTCAAATTTATTGGGCCAATGTCAGTAAACAAGTTTCTATTGTACCAGGGAGCTAAAAATAGTTGGGCCTATTACCCATCTAAAGCACTTTTTGGGCATTTGGGCTCCTAGTAAATGAGCTTCAGTTTATAAACAACAATTTTTGCTATATTCCAGTGTGAATTTGATGAGATGATGTTCGCACCGGTGGTTAAAGAGACGCAATTTTTATTCTTTTTTGCACAGAAAAAAGGCGTATTTTTTTTCTAGTTTTCAATCATTTGGCATATCTTGTATTAATATATGAAATTAGATCAAAAATACCCTTTTGCATAAAGCAAATGGATAAAAAAAGATTACAAGAGAGATCTTCACTTAAAGGAATAAAGTTAGCCGTGTTCAGACTCCATACATTTAAATGCAATGCTCTATTATTAAAAAACAATATATATATATATATATATAACCCCAACCCTTAATAGAATAGTAATAGAAGCATATAATTCATTATACATGCATATTTTTAGGTGTATATGATCACATAATCATGATGTGATAAAAACATAAAGAGAGAAGATAACAAAATATCATTTATATTTTATTTTAGGGTTCAATAAATTGAGCAATACGTTACAGTTCGTTTCTACCACCCTGCACCCTCTACACCAGCCTAACTTAAATGGGACAGCTGATCCTGAAAGCTAGTTCATGCAACATCATTCAAACCCTATTTGATGCTCATACTTGGCTACAAGGCATGCTGCTATACATCAATTTCTTCCAGCGTATTAAAGCTTCAGCAATCGCCTCTATTTTTGCCATATTTCCACTTCCAGTCTCTGAATGCATCAGAAGTGGCAATGCAGACAACACTTATGGATCCAACTCTCGAACTGTCTCTGAGTTCATGTCAGCGCCACCACTAAATTGGAACGCCCTTAGAGATCCCCTTTGACCCCTAACTCAAAAATCCGGAATGCCACTTAAGCGCGATGAATACTCAGCCGCCAACTTTAGAAACATGAACGATTTATCCTCTAATAGTCGTGACGGAGTATCAAACTCTGCGATTTTACCTGCAACAATATCAACAAGTTATTTCAAGAGCAGAGACTAGCAAGACAAACAGGGAATCATACCCAATCATCAAAAACAAAGAAATATATATATATATATATATATTTGTGAGTTAATTCTACAAGAACCAGAAATGAACATAGAAAGAAGGTGACAAACAGACATACACTTCCAAATTAACAAAATTTGATGTTGCACTAACTAAAATATAACTAAGAAGACTCTGCAAGATGATGAACGCTAAGGCTTTTATGATTGAAAGAATTTAGTGAGATCATTCATAAATTCTCAATGAAAAAAGACAATCATATTTTTTTTCACTATAACCCCCATAAAATCTTAATTTTATTTTAGCTTGAATGAATCATAGACAAGAAACAAAATATATCCCGAAAACCATGAAATGATAAGGATTGAATGTAGATCCCACAGGTGTATAACTAAAATAAAAATAAAAATAAAGCAGAGGATTAAAGAAAAAGATGCAACTTCACATACCATCAGTAAGTACCCGAACTAGACGACTGTCAATAACAGTAGGGATACGATGTGCAATAGTGCAGACAGTATAATCTTCCGGATAAGATTACAAGTGGCAATATCAACTGATGCCGTTGCTTCATCAAGAACAAGTACATTTGACTGCTCTAGTAAAGCTCGGCCCAGGGAAACTAGTTGCCTCTGTCCTAAACTCCAATTATCTCCATTTTCTAGCACTGCAAATTACACAATAAATCTTAAAGTCACTGTTTCTCTGGAGTGGGGTTAGGGGCAAAACTCTGTACTTTTTACTCCAAACATAGTCCTTTCCCTTTCATATTCCCTATTTCTTGGGTTGCGGCTTATCAAGCTTCTGCTCCTTTTCACTGATAATTTCTCCAAGCTGAGACTTATCTAGCGCGTAAGAAAATATTTACTATCAATAATCAATCAGTATGCATGCATACACATGCATGTGTATTTTTTCCCATATTCACACACAATCTTTTCTATAGATTACACTAATCGTGGGTTAATTGGATAATGGATGTATGCAGGTAAGACTAACCTCCCAAATCTCTTTATCTGAGTGCTCTACAAGAGGATCAAGATTGCCTTGGAGGTACCTTCAAATAGAGTTGGATCTTGTGGCATGATACTAAGATGACTACGAAGGTCATGAAGACCAATATCTGAAATATTAATGTTGCCTATGAAGATACTCCTACTTGCAGGTTCAATCAATCGAAATAATGCCTCAATCAAAGTAGATTTGCCACTGCTAGTACATCCAAATATTCCAATTTTCTTTCCACCAGGAAATGTGCAAGATACTCCTTGAAGCAGCAAAGGCATATTCTCCTTGTAACGAACCTTCAATTGGGACAAAGCAATCAACAAGACAAAAAATGAAATGAACAAATTTCCAATTCAAAGGAACAAGAACAAGCATGAGCATCTTAGTGATGTGAAACTAATCAGACTAATACTTTTAAATCAACAATTTTAATTGTCCCATCCTCAGGCCATGTAGATGGAGGACTAAATTTTTCAGTAGTTGTTGGTGCTTCGGTACTAATTTGGCTATATTGGTAGATTATTTTTATTTTCAAGTTTGCAAAAGCTAAGTATCCACCACGATAAGCGTGCATTTAAATTTAGGCCATATGTCACAGCAAGTCCAGCCATGCATATATAGAAAAGAAATAATGAGTGACAATGTTTTACGTAGAGTATAGTTTTCACATTTCATCCCCCATATTCATTGCAAACAAAATTCACCACCACGTGAGCACTTTCCTCTCTGAAGGAGTTTAAAATGCAAGATCAACCATAAATAAAATCATGCAGAGCTCTTTGTTGCCCGCTACCTGGGGGAGATGCCACACCAATAGCAATGAAAAACAATGGAAGATAGATAGAAAGTAGACCCACTTAGTTGAGTAAAGCTTAAAGCTATTTAAGCTATCCCTACAAGAGTAGAAAATTATCCTGAAAAAAAATAAAATAAAAAACAATTCAACTTAATGAGATCAAATACTCACTAGGGTCAATAATTCCATGTGGAAAGCTCACTACTAGCATCATGCAGACAGCAAATATAAAGGTTGATAGTAATTCCAAGCGCAAGCAGAGCCACTCAATAGCTGCAAGACTGCAAAAGAAAGGACGTGCAAAACAATCTAGAAGATAGAGGTTTCTCTTCATGAACCTTTTTTCTTGTCCAAAACCTCTGATGGTGGTCCCTCCAGCAATTGATTCACCAAAAAAAAAAATGTATTATTGGAGACTTTTGAATGCTTACAATACGAACCAGTTCCCTTGAGGAAGCCATATA